CCCGCGCCAGGGGGCGCAGCTCCACCTGGTCCTGGAGCGCGGCGCCGAGGACCACCGTCCCTTCTCCCGTTTCCCCCTTCCCGCTTCCGTCCTCCTCCCCCGCGCCAGGGGGCGCCGCTCGGCATAGGGCCCCACTGAGGTCCTGTGAGTGCTGGGAACTGGCCCGGAGACCCCCACGCCCGGCACCCACACTGCCTCTTGACCGCCGCGAGCTCTGGAGGGGCTCTGCTTGAGGTTTCTCCAGAACATCCTGTGTGCTGGAGGGACCCTCCCACCTCGGAGGTTCTCCCGGGACCCCCGCTCTGCCATGAGGGGCAGCCCCGAGCGCCAGGCGTCCTGAGTCCCGCTGCGCCCCCGGCCCAGCAGCCTAGATCCCACTCCCACTCTGCACCCTGGCTGGCTTCCTAGCCGGGACTGCGCACCTGCGCCCTGGGGCGGAGACCTTACTCCTACCCTAGCTTGCTTCACTGCACGGCGGTGGGGCGGGTCAGCCGGCCGAGCCTGGCCCGGCCTCCTCCCCCTCTTCATCCCTGACACCTGGTGGAGCCCGCACCGAGAGGCTCCTTCAGTTCCCATCTGTTCCCCCAGAAAGGGCTGGGGCTCAGACGGGAGCCAGAGCGGTAGATGGGGCTAGAATAGGTCTGGTGGCCAGGGGAGGCAGAGGTATTTGGGGAAATGGGTGCTGGTGGGTGTTGAGGGCTGTCAGCCTCAGGGTGGAGGATGGTCCCCAGGGTGAGAAGCGTGAGAAGCTCCGACCTGTGTGTTTGTTTAGCCCAGTTTCTGCCAGGCCCTGACCAACCTGGAGGAGAGAGAATAGGTGAGGTCACTTATCAGATCTGCCCTTCCCTTTGGAAAAATCAAATAGAGAAGGAACTCAGGGTGTGTCTTCCAAGGCCTAGCTCTCCACCCTGACCTAGACTTCCTGTCCTGCCCCAGCATCCAAGCTTTCTCGACGAACCATCCTCCAAGGACTGGCTGCCTTGAGTCCCAGCCCCCGGGACCTGACCCACCATAACCCCAGCCGAGGCTATAGGGCCTCGGAGGCCCCAGCCATGACAGCCTTCTCCCCTCCCCCACCCTCTTTTTTTTTTTTTACTGGTCAGTCTGTTCCTTCTCCCTGCTCACTCATCTTTCACAGATATTGCAATCCAGTTCTACATTCCTCCCCCTACCTTATGTTCCTCACCCTGGATTAAAGTGGGAGCTTCTGCTGTGCCCTCATTCTCTTTTTCCAGCACGGACTCCCCCTCCCCCCGGCCCCTCAGGCCGGGGGTGACCTTGCCCCCACTGGAGCCCTCACCATGAATACCAAGGACACCACTGAGGTTGCTGGTGAGTTCACAAACCAGGTTCCCGTGTGGGGCATAGCCTTTATGTTCTCATGCATGGTGGCCCTTTGATACTTGGATTCTCTGCTCTCTTGTCGTGGTGGCAGTTTCCCCCTTTTTCCCTGGGCTGCCTCTCACAGGGATGCCACAGCAGCACATTGAGCCTTTCCTTCTGGTTCCCTCCAGAGAACAGCCACCACCTGAAGATCTTCCTCCCCAAGAAGCTGCTGGAGTGTCTTCCTCGGTGCCCACTACTGCCTCCAGAGCGACTCCGGTGGAATACAAATGAGGTTTTCTAGGGAGCCTGGGGGTTATGGCCCAGCAGGGCCTAGTGAGCTGGAGGAAGATGAGTCTTTCTGTGTCTGTGGACATAGAGCACTGTTGTGGGCTTTTGGGGGGCTCACAGGCAAAGTATAAAAACCTAGATCTCGTAGGAGCCCACCTTTTGACATATCCACAGCTACCACCTATTATTTCTTACATGCTAGGCACTATGCTGAGCACTTAGCCTTTTATTATCTCACTATTACACCCATGTAACTGATAAAGAAACTGATTTACTTCTTGGAGTTTATCATCTAACTCACACTAAAACCCCTGCTTTTAACCACCACTGATACTGGCTGCTCCAGGAGGGTACAGTCCTTATGTTATAAACCTCCATTATCCTGCATACTTAGCACCTTATACGTAGTTGGGGGTTGAGAGTCATTGATTTGATGGTAGAACTGTCAGTAAAAGGGTATGTGTGCACATGTAATTGTTGCAAGTATTATGGAGCCTCCAGGAAGGGCCAGGGTGGCAGCAGGACTTCATGGAGCATCTAGAAAGCCTACAGGATAACTGGGATTTCCAGACATGGAGAGATAATGCATGGCACTTCAGGCTTTTAGGCACTAATGTGCAGGAGGAGGTAACTGTTCAGGGCATGTTCATGGAGGAATCAATGGACCCATCAAGCAGGAATGCTGGGTGGAATGTGGTAAATAGTGGGAACGATGGTTTGATACCCTGGAGTCAAGCTAAAGAATCTGAAATTCTTGGTGGTGATATTCCATTGAAGTTTTTTCTCAAAAAGGGGTGTCAAGTGGGATTTGGCAAGAGTAAAATCATACATAATATGAAGAATGAATGATAAACTAGATAGGCTCCAGTTGGGAGGGACAGAAGAATCGATTAGATTTTGTCTGTAATGGAACCTGAGATTCTTATGAGGGCAGTAGGGCCAAGTGTATTGGTGCACGCCTGTAATCCAAGCATTTGAGAGGCTGAGCCAAGAGGATTGCTGCAAGTTCAAGGCCAGCCTGTGCTACATAGTGAGTTCAAGGATAGCCTGACTGACACAGCAAGGTCCTGTCTCAAAAAAAGAAAAAAAGAAAAGGGGGCAGTGGGCCCTGCTGGACCCAGATACTTGGAAGCGTCCTCCACTTGCTGCACAACTCCCAGAGTGAGAATTTGATGTAGTCAGCAAGAGGCCAGTCTCAGACTTTATGGAAGGGATAACCTAGCTGAGTGCCTTGTTTCCTACAGGAGATTGCATCCTACCTGATCACATTTGAGAAGCATGATGAGTGGCTATCTTGTGCCCCAAAGACAAGGTGAGAAAATTCTCAAAGGTAGGGAATGGCAGGGGTCATGAGCTCTATTCATAGAACTTGAGGTCAACCCTTTCCTTTCTAGGCCTCAGAATGGCTCCATTATCCTCTACAACCGCAAGAAGGTGAAATACCGGAAGGATGGTTACCTCTGGAAGAAGCGAAAGGATGGGAAGACCACCCGAGAGGACCACATGAAGCTGAAGGTCCAGGGCATGGAGGTGAGAGGATCAGGCATCCAGGGACCTGCCCTCGCCCCACCTTCTCCACCCATAGCTGAGCTCCAGCCCTGCCAGGGCTTGAGGACATTGTCTGCCTCCCCCGTTTCCAGTCACTTTTCTCTCTTTTCTCATTTTGGATTAGCTGACTGAACATTGAGCTCACTTGGTTTCCCATTTCCCTCCATGACCTAGCTTTCCAGGCCTTTAGGACATTGAAGCCCAATCCGCTCACCTCTCTTGCATTTCTCACAGGGATCTAAACACTGATGCTCTAAACACAGGGTTTCTCTTCGCAAATCATTGCTTCTTCTCAGGTGCATTCTTGCTCTGCCCTTGGATTTTTAGATAGTTCTATACCTTTGATCTAGCCCTCATTATAAAGCCCCACTCCCACTCCTCCCTTCTCTCTGTCCCTTACCTATAACTTGGACTGCTGGAATTTGAAAGGGGTGGGGAATAGGTGGGGGTAACGAGGGGGTTGAAGATGAACTGGTCGAAAGATTGGGATTCCTGCAAAGGGACTGAACAGAGGAAGACTTGGGGGAGTAGACTAGCCCTCCCCCCACCCCAGCCTGTCTCCTGGCAGTGTCTCTATGGCTGCTACGTTCACTCTTCCATCGTCCCCACATTCCATCGGCGCTGCTACTGGCTGCTCCAGGTAAGGATGGAAGAACTCAGGGAGTCAGTTTCTTCCTGGCTCTTTGAGGGACATGTGGGTCTGAAAGGACAAAGTAGAAGGATAAACAGATTCTGAGTGGGAAGAAAACGGGGGTTGGAGATGAAATGAGAAATTGGGGGTGAGTTGTGGGGGGCTGCTCTGGAAGGTGAAGGTTAGGAAGCTGAGCCTTCGGATCTCAGGACCCCATGGCTCTCTGTGTGTGCCTTTGTGCTCTCAGAACCCTGACATCGTCCTTGTGCACTACCTGAACGTCCCAGCTCTGGAGGATTGTGGAAAGGGCTGCAGCCCCATCTTTTGTTCCATCAGCAGCGATCGGCGAGAGTGGCTGAAGTGGTCCCGGGAGGAGCTGTTGGGACAGCTAAAGCCCATGTGTAAGGAGCAGGGCAGGAAGAGAGCTCCAAGTAGAGTGGAAACAGGGCCTCCCAAAGGTGCTACAGTTCTGTACAAGAAGCCTATGGGTGACAATTTTCTTCTAAGTTGGAAGGATGCTTTCCTGCAGGAATTCTAGCATTCCATGCAGTGTAAGGAGTGGAATATAAAGAAGGGGATGAACTACATGTCACGGCATTCTTGAAGCTGCTGGCCTCTATTCAGCATATCAGGTGCTTAGAGGAGGTCCTCAAGGTATTTTTGAAGTCCCACAGCACATCCCCTAACTCTCCTCTAGTTCATGGCATCAAGTGGAGCTGTGGGAATGGGACAGAGGAGTTCTCCGTGGAACAGCTGGTGCAACAGATCTTGGACACCCACCCAACCAAACCTGCACCCCGAACCCATGCCTGTCTTTGCAGTGGGGGTCTTGGTGAGCAACCCCTGATCCTGGAGTTCTTTTTTCCACCTAGCCACTTTACTCTGTATCTGTCTTGATGGGATTTGCATCCTGATTTGGAAGTCTTTTGCATGTGAAGGAAGATGAGCCAGAAGAGTCTTCCCATCTGGCAAACAATGGCCCCAGCACCTTGACTTCTACAGTGCCCTAGTCCACACTTTTCTTCTGGCTACCTTTAGCAGTTCCACCCCCTTTCCCCACCCACACTACCAACTACACCCAGATTTAGCTTTGCCACCCTCTTTGTTCTGTTATTATTTTGGTTTTTTGAGACAGGGTCTCCCTATGTAGTTCAGGCTGGCCTCAAACTCCCAGTGATCCTTCTTCCTCAGCCTCCCCAGTGCTGGGATTACAGGTGTGCACCACCACTCTGGGTCTGTTTTTGTTCTTTTGTCCTTTTCCTGTGCCTTTACCTACTGCTCTCAGCTACTCCCCCAAGCTGGGAATCCTCCCCTGTAGTATTCCTCCAGTCCTGTTTATTTTGAGGGGAAAGGGAGTTGGGGAGGAAGCTTCATTTCTGATGCCTCCCAATGGCCATAATCAGTATTACACTTCTGGTCTGTGGGACAGTCCCAGGAAATACTGTTTAAGGGCTTCCAAGGAAGGGAAGGCTGAAAAAGAATGTGTCTTATCCCATGTCTCCTCCCCACCCCTCTCCACTGTAGGTTCCGGGAGCCTTACCCACAAATGTAGCAGCACGAAACACCGCATCATCTCTCCCAAAGTGGAGCCCCGAGCTTTGACCCTCACCTCCATACCCCACCCCCCAGAGCCGCCTCCACTGATAGCCCCACTTCCCCCAGAGCTCCCCAAGGCACACACCTCCCCATCTTCTTCTTCCTCCTCCTCATCCTCATCAGGCTTTGCGGAACCTCTAGAAGTTAGACCTAGCCCTCCTACCTCGCGAGGGGGCTCCTCAAGAGGAGGCACTGCTATCCTTCTCCTGACGAGATTAGAACAGCGTACCAGTGGCTTGACACCCACCAGGCATTTGGCTCCCCAGGCTGACCCTAGGCCTTCTGTGAGCTTGGCTGTGGTCGTTGGCTCTGAGCCCTCTGCCCCACCAGCTCCTCCCAGCCCTGCTTTTGACCCTGATCGCTTTCTTAACAACCCCCAAAGGGGCCAGACATATGGAGGGGGCCAAGGGGTGAATCCAGACTTCCCTGAGGCAGAGGCTGCCCATACCCCCTGTCCTGCTCTAGAGCCTGCTGCTGCACTGGAGCCACAGGTGTCAGCTCGGTGTCCCCCTCCCCAGTCAGGAGCATCTGGAAGAGGAAACTGCTTTTTCATCCAAGATGATGATGATGGGGAGGAGCTTAAGGGCCAGGGAGCTGTCCCACCTGTCCCTTCACCCCCTCCTTCAACCCCATCCTCACCTGTCCCCTTGGAGCCATCAGGCAGGATAGCAAGAGGGGAGAACTTGTTTGGTGGACCTGGTGGGGCCAGTGAACTGGAGCCCTTCAGTCTTTCATCATTCCCAGACCTTATGGGAGAACTAATCAGTGACGAAGCTCCAAGCATCCCTGCTCCAACCCCCCAGCTCTCTCCTGCTCTAAGCACCATCACAGACTTCTCCCCAGAGTGGTCCTACCCAGAGGTGAGTCTCAAGCTTATCACTTCCCTTCTCCCATTTGTTTTCTGATTCCCTGAAATGAATTGTATTAATTCTTACACTGTGGTCTGTGACTTAGTTTCCCTCAGCTTTAATGGCTTTGTGTGTGTGTGTGTGTGTGTGTGTGTGTGTGTGTGTGTGTGTGTGTCTGGGGATTGAATTCAGGGCCTCATGCTTGCTAGGCATGAGCTACACCTCCAGACCCTTCATGGCCTTTTTTTTTTTTTTTTTTTTTTTGGTACTGGGGATCGAACTTGGGTCCTGCGCTTGCAAGGCAGGCAGCGGAATCACAGCCAAATCCCCAGCCCTCCTTCATGGCTTTTTGGTTCTCTTCCCAACCTCCCCTCTCAAGCAGCATATAGCTTCTTTTCTATTTCCTGAGTCCTTACCCACTAATCCTCCCTTCCTCCCGCTTCCATGTGTTATTAGCATGGTTGTAAGAGTGCCCCCCAGGGACCTGATCCCCTTGGAGAATGTTTTCAGAGGGAGGGAGCCATGGCCCTTTGGGCTACAAAAGAAAATACACAATGAGGAACGTGACTGCAGACTATGGGAAGCTCAGACTGACTCAGGAGTAGTGAAGATGTTCTGCTTTACATTGCCTCTAAGAGGTAAAGGAAGAACTGCAGTGGGTAAATTAACCCAAGAACAGAACTTCCTCCTCATAAGGTGTCTGGTAGCCTTGGGAGGCCCTGAGTTCCCAGTTTCTGGTAGAGTCAAAAGATTCTGGTAGAGATCATGTAACTTGGCAGGAAGGTTGGGAGCAGGGTTAGATTGGATGACCTCACCTCACTGGGTCCTGTCCATCCCTATACCTCCAGATTCAGCACAGGGTCGACCCACATGGAAGGTAGTCTGAAAGGACCTGAATAAGAGAGTGATGAATGAGTGAACACCCAACTCCAGTCATTGGGTTCTCTGACTTCTGTCTACAGGGTGGGGTCAAGGTGCTCATCACAGGTCCGTGGACGGAGACCACCGAGCATTACTCCTGTGTCTTTGATCATATCGCAGTGCCAGCCTCGCTTGTCCAGCCTGGTGTTTTACGCTGCTACTGTCCTGGTATGGGGATTGGGTATGGTAGGGGAAAAGATCAACACATGACAGGAGAAATTAAAACATCTAGGCTTCCAGGAAACACTGGGAACCAATAGGTTGTTCTGAGAGCAGAAAGACTATCTAGTCCTCAGGTTGGACCCCAAACTCTACCAGCAGGGAGAAGAGCCTGGCTATAGCTGTCAGAAAATTTAGGACCTACTCCAGGTCCTAGTCTGTTCCTTTCTGGAGTCCTTGGCCTCCGTGCCTATGAGGTCTGACTTTTGACCAAAGCAGTCTCTAATGCTTGTCTAGTCTCTTGGTTTGGCTGGAGGCAGTTTCCAACTCCAATCCAGGGAGAGTGAGAAGGGAGAAATATTGGTGTCCTCTGACCAGTCCTGGGACATTGTTCTAGACTTGCCCTGTTTAATGCAGGTGCCATCAGCCATATGTGCCTATTTAAGTAAAATTAAAATTTTAGGATGAGGGATTTAGCTCAGTGGTGCCACTGCCTGCTCAAGGGCCCGTTTGATCCCCGGTACCAAAAAAAGCTACATATGCTAGTGATTCCCTATTAGATAATGCAGATGAGAAATTTCCTGCCACTGAAGAACATTCTACTAGATAGTATGAATACTGGGAGATCTATTCAACCATATATGGAATGAAAGGGGATGAGACAGAGAAGCTGAGGATTGGGGGAAGTTGTCTCAGTGCCTGATCTTTCACTCTTTTCACTCTCTCTTTTTTTTTTTTTTTTTTTTTTTTTTGGTACTGGGGATTGAACTCAGACCCTTGTGCTTGTGAGGCAGATGCCGGAACCACTGAGCTAAATCCCCAGCTGATCTTTCACTGTTAGGGCTGTAGACATTGAGACCCTGGGACACCACTCTCACTGGACACAGTTGGTGAACAGCCAGTTCCCCTTTCCCCATCTCAGTAGCAATGTCATGGCCTCTGGACCTGCTCTGGGGGATTTAGGAGCTTAACCACCATCAAACTGTTCATAAGTATAGGTGTCTTTTTGACTCACAGGTCCCAAACCTTGGTACTGTACAAACATCCTTAAGTCCAGAATCTAAAATCTATGAGTTCTGTGGTTCATAGTAGATATTCTTGAATGAATAGACTCCCAAGTTAGTGCCAATGCCATTCACTAAAGCCAGGGACCTTTCAGCCCTCAGCAGGGAAGTGAGAAGTGCCAATGCCATTCACTAAAGCCAGGGACCTTTCAGCCCTCAGCAGGGAAGTGAGAGAACTAGAACAGATGATCATCAGTGGATCTCACACAGGTGGCTTACAGAAGGAGCCAGGGAAAGAGAGCTTTCTCATTGATTCTACTTTCCCCAGCCCACGAGGTAGGGCTGGTGTCTTTACAGGTGGCAGGACGGGAAGGACCCCTTTCTGCTTCTGTGCTCTTTGAGTATCGAGCCCGCCGATTCCTGTCTCTGCCTAGTACCCAGCTGGACTGGTTGTCACTGGATGGTGAGTGCTGAGACCTCTGACGCCATGTCAGACCCCATAACCTACAAGCATTACGTACTTCTAGACCCTGTAGATGGTTGTCATTAACTCCTACTATACCATTCTTTTCCATTGGTCTTGTTGTTGTTGTTGTTGTTGAGACAGGGTTGTTGAACTCATTATATAGCCCAGGTTGACCTCAAACTCGTGGCAAATCCTCCTGCCTCAGTCTCCTGAGAGCTGGGATTACAGGCATGCACCACCATGCCTGGCTCATCATTGGTCATTTCTGATTGTGGCAGCAAATAATTTCATCTCCTCTTCCCTGTGAATCTTGGACTCCTCTTTATCCCATTTCTTTCCTTGTCTTCTCCATCCCAAAGGATGGGATCTAGACAAGGAAGGAAAAGGGAATGGGACAGGGACAGGTTCTAGAGCAATATATAGTTACTATTCATATGTACATTTAGACTTATATTTAAATTTGTTTCTTCCCTTTGCTTATAAAGTCATATGTTCATTATAGGAAGTTTGGAAATTACAGGAAAGTACAGTGGAGAGAATGGAAACTTCCTATATTATTGTTGGGTAATATCCCTGCTAACATCTTGGCATGCTTCCTTATACACACAGAGGCACATATGTACACTTATATTTGAGTGTGTATAGGTACATCTAAATCTGGAACCACTTTTGATCCTTTTACTGGTTCTCTTGGTGCTTTGAAAACATTCTGCTCATCCCTGCTACTTTCTCAAGGTTTACTTTTCTTTCCTTCTCTTGTCCTCATTGTTGTTATTTTTGTTTTTTTGAGACAGGGTTTCACTGCATAGTTCAAGCTGGCCTTGAACTCTCAGGGATCTTCCTGCCTCAGCCTTCAAGTGCTGGGATTTGAGGTGTGGACCACCATTCCTAGCAGTCCCCACTGCCTCTTGGTTTCTCAGTTCTGCTGTCATCCCTGTTCGTTTACTCTATCTTACTCTTCCTTTTGTAGAGGTTCCAGTCCCTAGTTTTGCCTCACTCTTGGAGCCACTGTCATCACAAAGCCCAAGTGTGTGTGCTGGGTTTGCTGTGTGTGACTTGTGCCTGCCTACCTTGGGATCTTGCCAGATCTGTTTGGCTCTTTGTCTTTCTCTGATTCTTCATCACCTTATTTTTCTGCTGTCTTTGTGCTACCATCTCCCCATGGGTCTCCTACTTTACTCTTCTTAAATCAGCTTTCAAACTTGCTTCTTCCTTTCTTATTGCTTGGTTGTTACTTCCCCCAGCTCTTTGACCTTTCTCTCCTCTCCTTCACCTTGTTTATATTTTCCACTCCCTCTCCTCTCTGTCATGCCTGTGTTTCTGCTTATCATGCTCTAGCCCTCTGCCCTGGCATCACCTCTTCCCTTCCTATCCTGGCATCCTGGAACATCCCCAGCCTTCACCCTGTTCTCTGTCCATTTTCCCTTGGTTCCCCTTGTGCTTGTTTGATCTCAGGAGGGGAACAGATACAATTTGGGCTGTGTGTTTGTCTATGGGGCTGGGGGAGGAGTAGGAAGAATGGACGTGGCTATTCATCTCTGTCACCTTCCCTCCCCCGCCATCCTCTTTGTGGACAGCTGCGGGGGGCTGGGAGGAGGGGGTGGTGCTTTCCAAATCACAGTCCCTGAGTTCTTTTGAGCAGTGATTATCAGACTGCAAGGACCCTGGAGTCCTTCAGCCCCAACATGGGAGACAAAGGTAGTGTCTGGGGCAAGAATTGAGGGAACACTGCTGAGGAAAAGGCTGGGAGAGGGCAAGCCACGTATGACTGGGGCAGTGGAGGCTGGATGGCTGTTGGGGAATTCCTACCACCTCTGACTTGTAGGAAACAGCTTGGGCCTCAATCCTAGTTCTAGTCTTTGGGTGGGATTAAGAGCCCTAGTTTAAGAATTGAATTCTGGTGGGCTTTAGTTTGAGTGGGTAAAGGGAGCTATTGTTTTGGGAAAGCAAAAATAAATATGACTATGTCTTTACCCCTCAGATCTTGGGCAAGTCCAGTTGTGTTCAGGGCATCTCCCAGACCCTGCCTACCTAGCCTTACATCCCCATCCCCCACAGACAACCAGTTCCGGATGTCCATCCTGGAGCGTCTGGAGCAGATGGAGAAGCGGATGGCAGAAATTGCAGCAGCAGGGCAGGCCCCTTGCCAGCGTCCTGAGGCACATGCTATTCAGGTACTTCCACGATGGGGGAGGTGGTCTCTCACAAGGAACGGGGAGGATCTGCCTAAAGAAAATGGCTCTTCTCACTTGCATGATTCTCACTTGCCTGTCCCCAGCCTCCTCAGCCAGTTCCCCTCCCTCTCCCTGATGTCACTCTGCTCCTACCCCCACCCCGTGGCAAGAGTGGCTATTCTGGGCACCCTCTTGGCATGACAGGCTTCAGACTATTTCTGGTCTGAAGAAGGGTGGAGGTGAAAGGAGAGGGTGGGGGAGGAGGAGTCACGAAAATTGGGGCTCAGGACTCTGTAGGTCCCAACATCTGAAGGAAGAGGGCTTTGAAAAGGCTTGGAGAAAGCATTGGTTCCTGAGATGCCACGTGTGGATGGCAGTAGTCTGAGGCACAGCATGGGCAGGGTGTTTAAGGTCTAGCTATAGGAGTGGCTGGAAGTGGGCTGTGGAAGTAGAGGATACTGGTGCCACAAAGGAACTGGAACTGGAAGAACCAATGGGCTGTCAGAAGTCTGGGTAGTGGGAACTTAGAGCAGGAAGTGTAGGGAGGGGATAGAATTAAGACACTAAAGGGCAACTCGGAACCAGATGCCCAGGTCTCTGCATACAGGTGCATGTATTGCAGGATGAAGGCCAGGGACCTGGGTTCGAGGCACGTGTGGTAGTCTTGGTAGAAAGCATGATCCCACGCGCCACCTGGAGGAGTCCTGAACGACTGACCCATGGAAGCCCCTTCCGGGGCATGAGCCTTCTGCATCTGGCTGCTGCCCAGGGCTATGCGCGCCTCATCGAGACCCTGAGCCAGTGGCGGTGAGCAGGAACAGCAGGGAGAGGGCTGGGCAGCCATTGGGATGGAAGTGCCAGGGGAGGAGGGGCTGGAGCCCCTGTCCCTTCACTGTGGGAAGGGACAGGGAGAGGACTGGCACTGGGAAAATCTTACTTATACCCTGGCAAGTTACTGGGACTTCTTGACCTCCTTAAATCAACTAATCTGACTGCCTGATCTCGCTGGCCTTAGTGCTCCTAGATAGCTCACTTCTTAGACTCTTTACTTCCGATGTTCAAGCGTTGCTCCTTTTTCACCTGACTGGGCTGTTTTCCTCTCAAACTTTTCAGGAGTGTGGAGACTGGAAGCCTGGATTTAGAACAAGAGGTTGACCCGCTCAACGTGGATCATTTCTCTTGCACTCCTCTGGTGAGGTTGCCAGTGTCCTACAAGGTTACAGGGCAATGGGCACAATGCTTAAAGGGAAGATTCTTGAGGGGTGAAAGAATCAGGTAGGCCAAGTTCAGAGGACCTGGCCACTTGAAAAGTCCTAGCCTCACCTCCACCTCCCTCTCCTTAGATGTGGGCCTGTGCCCTGGGACACCTGGAAGCTGCTGTGCTCCTTTTCCGTTGGAATCAACAGGCACTGAGCATTCCTGATTCTCTGGGCCGTCTACCCCTGTCTGTTGCCCATTCCAGGGGTCATGTGCGCCTTGCCCGCTGCCTGGAAGAACTACAGAGACAAGAGGCTTCAGTTGAACCTCCACTTGCCCTGTCACCCCCCTCTTCTAGCCCAGACACTGGTGAGCATTGCCCCTGATCTTTCTGAGAGGGGTGACGATAGGATAGGCCAGGGCAAAGCCCAAGGGTGGGGAAAGTGGAAGAGGAGGAGGCAAGGAGGGGGAGATAACAGGAACCTGGGAGAAAATCTAGGGAGACTGAGAACAAGGTACAGGGTAGACTTGAGGGCTGGCCTGTCGCTCCCCTTGCCCTCACCCACTTCCCTTGCCTTACAGGTCTGAGCAGTGTTTCTTCTCCTTCAGAGCTGTCAGATGCCACTTTCTCTGTTACATCAGCCTACTCTAGTGTCCTAGATGGCAGTCCTCCTCCTGGTCCTCTGCCAGCCTCTGAGATTACTATGGAGGAGATGGTCCCAGGCCAGCTCTCCTCCAGTATACCAGAGACCCCCTTGCTCCTCATGGACTTTGAAGCCACCAACTCCAAAGGGCCCCCACCCTCTCCTCCTGCCCTCCCACCAGCCCCAGATGATGGGGCTGCTCCAGAAGACACCGACAGCCCACAGACTGTGGATGTGATCCCGGTACTGCTTATGTTGGTAGAGTTATGAGGGTTAGTGGGTACAGAGTGAGGCAGGCTACCCCATGAAGCCGAGTCATTTCAGGAAAAAGGGCCATTTACCCCCACTTTGGGACAGGCAAGGTAACCCCTTGCATAGCTCCTTTCTGATCTTGTGACTTAGCAGTCACAACGCAGCAGAATATAGGAATTCTGGACAGTATCTTCACTCATAGCTGGGCCTGTAGGGGTTACCTGTTGGTCCATAAAGGGACAAGGTTCTTGGGGAACAGAGTAATATTGGATAGCATGAGCCGAGGGGTTGGCAAGGCAGAGGTAACTGGAAGTAATCTGAGGTGGGAGACTTGCACATGAGAAAAGCTAAGAAACTAGAATTCTTATAGAATGAATGAGTGAGAAAAAGGGGATGAATTTTCAAGTTTAGTTATGCTCTTCTCTACTAGAACCTCAGCACTATCTGCTTTAGAAAGGATAGAGTAATTATGTAGAACTCTAAGTACAAAAACTAAGAGAACTCCACAAAGGAGGCTACATGAAATGTAGGAACAGGAAGTACCATAGACTTCAGGCTGGAGCAAAGGACAGCCTAGAACAATTCATCAGGGTGTCATGTGGCCAGCAAGAACTAAGCTGGTTCTTAGAGAGCTGAAGAGGGTGGGGTGAGTCATGGCTAAGCTCAAGGGGAAATATGCTGGTTGGAACTGGCAATGGGTAAGCCCAGGTGGGACATTTGGAATTCAGCCTGGAAAAGCGTCAAGTCCTTCATTTGCTTCCCTCCTGAATCCCCATTTGGAGTATGTGCTTCCCATCCTGTGTTTCCTCATCTCAGCACAGAGGGCTGCACACCCACTTTCCCCCAGTTGGAAGCAGGCAGGAATAAATGAACAAGCTAGGTGTGGTGGCACACGCCTGTAATCCCAGCACTTGGGAGGCTGAAGCAGGAGGATCCCTGTGAGTTCGAGCCCAGCCAGGGCTACATAGTGAGTTCCAGGTCAGTCTCAACTACCTAGTGAGACCCTGTCTCAAAAACCAAAAAGAAAAAGAATAAATGAACAAAATCAGGAACAGTGGTGAGAAAGTCAGAGCTAGCAAGAGAGCAGTCCCCAAGGCTTCAGTATCTAGTAGTGAGAAGGGACCAGAGAGGGAGTAGACCGAGGTTAAAGCTTTGGCAAGGCAGAAACACCTGGCAGTGGGAGCCTGTCATGGCTCACACAGCTTCTCCTTTCATCCAGGTGGACATGATCTCACTGGCTAAGCAGATCATTGAAGCCACTCCAGAACGGATCAAACAAGAAGACTTCGTAGGGCTACCTGAGGCTGGAGCCTCAATGCGGGAGCGGAAAGGGGCCGTGGGGCTCAGTGAGACCATGTCCTGGCTGGCCAGCTACCTGGAGAATGTGGACCATTTTCCTAGTTCTGTCCCTCCCAGGTGACCAGCACAGGACAAAGCCCTCAGATTCTTCAAAGGAAAATGGGAGGAGGGAGGAAGCAGGCTCCCCCACAGCCAAAGCATCATTCTGGTTGAGGCCCCAGTGTTTTGAGAAGGGAACTGGACTGGTCAGTGAACTCTGAAGCTACTCTCTCCAGACTCTGTTGATGGGGCCCTTCCTTCACAGCTACCCATAGGTGGGACACAGGGGACCTTGGATACCCCATAACCGCCCTCCTCGCTGTCTTCCACAGTGAACTGCCCTTTGAGCGAGGTCGCCTGGCTGTCCCTCCAGCACCTTCCTGGGCGGAGTTTCTCTCTGCATCTACCAGTGGCAAGATGGAAAGTGACTTTGCCCTGCTGACACTGTCTGATCACGAACAGCGGGAACTGTATGAGGCAGCCCGAGTCATCCAGACAGCCTTCCGAAAGTACAAGGTTAGGAGGCTATAGGTGTCAGAATAAGTGAAGCAGGGGAGACTAGGCTCTCAGGACATTTGGAGGAAGAACAGTTATCCAGACAGGCCTCAGATTGGAGGAAGACAGATCCACAATGCACACTGGGTGGGCCTTGAAGTGCTGAGACTTTTCACCTCTCAGGGCCGGCGGCTGAAGGAGCAGCAGGAAGTAGCAGCAGCTGTGATCCAACGCTGTTACCGGAAGTACAAGCAGGTGAGACTCTTCTCTCAAAACATACAACAGCTGGGCATGGTGGTGCAAGCCTATAATGTCAGCACTTGGGAGGCTGAGGCATGAGGATGGAAGAGTTCAAGGCCAGCCTGGGCTACATAGTGAGTTTGAGGCCAGCCTAACCTTGTCTCAACACCCCCCCAAACACATGCAACCAACCCACACCACACACACCCATTTTAATCCAGAGCACCCAGACTGCTGCCAGAGCCTTAACTCCCCTTCTCTCTCCACAAGCTGACCTGGATTGCACTAAAGGTACCAGGCATGAGATCTGGGTGTGAGTTGTCTGTGCTGATTTAGCCTTTCCATGAGTGTGGGTTAGAGAAAGAGACCTGCATCAGCCTACCTTGGGGATGATGCTCAGGGATTTGAGTCTCTGTCCCTCCATTTCAGCCTGTCCCTCCTCCCCATTCCTGCAGTTTGCCCTCTATAAAAAGATGACCCAGGCGGCCATCCTGATCCAGAGCAAGTTCCGCAGCTACTATGAACAGAAGAGATTTCAGCAGAGCCGCCGGGCTGCTGTCCTCATCCAGCAGCACTACCGCTCCTACCGCCGCCGCCCCGGCCCTCCCCACAGGCCCTCAGGGTCACTGCCTGCTCGCAACAAGTACGGCCCCAGCTCTGCAGCCCTCTGCTGATCCTCCATGGCCATGCCCACTCCCTGGTTCCGCATCACCATACGTGCCCACGCCTCCCTGCAGGGTGCCGGGGGGCAGGCTGAGGGTATGGGATGCTCGGGTGTTCTGTGAGATGTCTCTTCTTCCACTAGAGGCTCCTTTCTCACTAAGAAGCAGGACCAGGCAGCCAGGAAGATCATGAGATTCCTGCGGCGCTGCCGACACAGGTACTCACCTGTCCCTTCCCTCACTGGATCTCTACCTTGCCACCTGCCCTTATCTGACTCCTTCCTTGTCTCCGTAGGATGAGGGAACTGAAGCAGAACCAGGAGCTGGAAGGGCTTCCTCAGCCAGGATTGGCCACCTGACCAGTCTGCCACCCTTACCACCCCGGGGCCCTTCCTGCAGTCTTAACAGGGAGAGTGATGTCTGGGGCAGGGGGAGCCCCCTGTCGGCAGCTTTCCCCAAGCCCTCCGGCACCCCCACCCCTCCACGCCTCTTCTCCGGGTTGTGCCTCCTCTTGGTCCTAGGCTCCAGAAGACCCACGCCCCACGTACCTGCATCTTCAGCTGTGACCTACGAAGCCCTGCCTGCCCGTTCTCCACAGCCCTCTCCCTGCCTGCACCCGACTCTCCCCTTCCTGACTTGCCTTATTTATTTGTTCGACGCGTCTCTGAATGTATCCGCCTCGTCCCCACCTCTGCCTTCGCTGCGCGCCCTCTTGTTTGGGGGCTGACCGTGCCCCACCCCGACTCCGCATGTTTGCGTCTGTCCCCCTTGGCCCTGTCTTCCCCGATCACCACGGCTCTGGCCACCCAACCCGGGGCCAAAAGGGAGGGGGTGCGGAGAGGAACGCGTTGCGGAGTCCCGCCCGACCCGAGGGGAGGGGGCTTGTACATACTGTAACATACAGAGTATAGTGAAGAATCTATTTAAGGCGCCGCGGGGAGGCCCGCGCGGCCAGACGTGTCTTCCCCTGCGCGGCGGGGCCTCTTGTCGGCTCCACGAGCACTTTCTACATGTGCATGGGCTTGGTTTATACAAATTGCCATTAAACATCGCTGCACCAGCCCGCCTCCGACCTCTGTCTGCGGGTGGCGGGGCGGGGCTCGCCGGCGTCGAGGGAGAGATGGGGACGCGCGCTGCGGACCTCGGGCCTGCGCCCGGACAGGGCGGGAGCGTGGTTTTCCGCCTCCGACGTGTTTCCGGCCTTTAAAGGCATTTCGCCCTTCCCTTTAAAACGCACCGCCCCCTCTCAGTCACTCCCAAGATGGCGGACCTACTGGGCTCCATCCTGAGCTCCATGGAGAAGCCACCCAGCCTCGGTGACCAGGAGACTCGGCGCAAGGCCCGAGGTGAGGACCCCAAATTCACAACCGCCTTTCTTCGCCCGGTTCTCAGGACCGTACTCTTCCCTTTTTGGACGGTGCCGCCTCTTACACCTTAAGAGACCCCTCACAGGCCCCTTTTGAGACCCTCACAGTCCCTAATAGGGATACAGGCCCGCCTGCCGTTCCTAGCGGACGATGATTGGCTACTTGAAGCCTAGCTCCAACCTCCTGCCTCTTCTTTCCTACCCTGGCCTTCCGCAGTCCCTGTTTCTAATTAGCCGACCTGACCGCCTGTCAGCTGTTGGTGAGCTCTGATTAGGAGGACGCCTTCAGCCCTGCCCCACCTTCCCTTCTTCCGATTGGAGGATGGCGTGTGCTTCCATCTCTGCCTCATCGCCACATCCAGCGCTATTTCGATTGGGTTCAAGGCGCGCTCATCCACAGTTCTTTCACTGCTATTGGCTATATCAGAGCTCTACCTTCTAAGCGTTGTTGGACCGTCCGCCTCACCCTCTGCACTTCCCATTGGTTGCTGGGTCTTCCGTGTCTGTAAGCCCCTCCTCTTAGCCGTAACCCTGCGCCGCCTTCTTCCCTCCAATAACCCTTTTCCTATCAGTACTCTTAAATTCCTGAGGTTTTTGGGCGGGTCGTGGTGTTGATTGGAGAGATGAGAATGCTCCGCCGGTCCGATTGGCCACGGTGTCCGAGCCGCCTCCAGCAGGCGGGGTCAAGTTCGGTGGCTTTGTAGGGTGCGGCCCGGCTGGACTATAGAAGCCTCCCCCAAGTGCTGAGGGGCTAACGAAGATCTAAGTATCGGCCCTTGTTTAATTTTTGTTTTGATTTTTTCGGTATTGGGGTTCGAACTCAGGACCTTACGCTTATGAGGCAGGAGCGGTGCCACTGAGCTAAATTCCCGGCTGTCGGTCCTTATTTACTGAACGTCTACTAGGAACCGGGTATGCCTTTAAAAGGCCACAGTCTAAGTTGTGATTGAAGTGATCACACAAGAATGTAATAAGTTATTGTGTGTGAGAGAGAGGAGCAAAGTGTTGGAGGCAAAGAAGTATACTTGAAAATTCTGAGGAAGGGGGCTGTGGTGGGAAGAGGAAGTTGAAATTATTTAATGCTCTGTTGACTGGGAAGATGTTAGAATCACTAGCTGCAGTTAATAGAGTAGGAATCTTCCATTTAGTCACTTGCCTGAGGTCACATGAGTTTCAAACCCAGGTAAAGCTCTCCCTCCCTGCCTTCTTTTTTTGAGGCAGGCTGGACTCAAGCTAGTGATCCTCCTGCCTCAACTGCTCTGCCTTCCAGAGTGCTGCTATTAGAAGCATGCGCCTTTCCCAGCAACGCCTATATTCTTAACCATAATCTTTTATCGCTTCTCCAGATGCAGAGAGAAAAAAAAAATTAGAAAACAATCAGTGGCCAAGATGGGGTACTAATAAGGTCAGAGAGATGAGAGCTTTTAGGCTCTTAGGTCCTGTTCCACCAAAGGATGATGAACACAGATGAACAGAGTCCCTGCTCTCCAGTAACTCAGTCTGGAAGGAAAGACAAAAGGCTAGAGCATGTTAATGCTCAGCACTCGGCTATAATGAATGTCTGAACCAAACATGCTTGGACCCCAGAGGAAGAAGTAACTCTGACTCGTGGCAGATATTGTTTGCAAGAGGAGGAAAAGATTTCCATGTGGAAGGAACGACATATGCAAAGGCATGGCGTGGTTAGAAAAATGAGAAGACAGCTGGGCATGGTGGTGCACGCCTGTAATCCCTGCACTTGGAAGGCTGAGGCAGGAGGATCGAAGTGAATTTGAGCCGCCTGAGCTACATAGTGAGTTCCAGATCAGTCTCAACTACATAGTGAGACCCTGTCTCAAAAACAAGCAAAAAAAAGAAGAAAGAAAGAAAAATGAGAAGAGGTTCTGTGCAGCTGGGAGGGATTTAGATCCTGTGAAAGAAGTAGACCTTAAGGATAGAAAAGATTGAAGTGGCAGAAGAGGTGGGGCACATATTCGGCTAAGGAGCAAAAATAGGAAGGGGTACTTGCCCAAATCTCAAAGAGGCAATAAAATCCCATCATGGGGCAGTAAGGGCCTCAGGTTAGAAATATGCTCTTCTTGGAGGTAGGGTGTAGTTCAGTGATGGAATCCGTGTTTAGCATGCATGAGGCCCTGGGTTTGATTTCTAGCGCCACAAAAAAATTTAAAAGGCAGTCCCCTCCTCTAGGGGCAGATGGGATGTGATTCTGATGTAGAAGCAGGCTCTGAGGAAAAAGAGAAGAGATGAAGAGTCCAGAATGGAGAGCTAGGTTGCCCAGCTCAAATCTGTGATACTCTGAGAGTGCTGGGATTACAGGCATACACCACTATACCTGGCTTGGAGAGCTTTTATTTATTTACTTTTTGAAACGGAGACTTGTTTCTCACTATGTAGTTTGGCCTTGAACTCATTATTACATAGCCCAAGCTGACCTCAGACTCAGTGATCCTCTTGCCTCAGCCTCCCAAGTGTTGGGATTATAGGCATGCACCACCACACCTGGCTCTAATTAGAAAACTTCTTAATAGCTCACCTCAGACACCTACACCCCCAAAGAAAAGGGGTATCAGATTAGCCATTTCAGCATTGCCCTATCTGTAGAAGTGGGAAGTAGAGGGGGGTGGTTATGAAATAAAGGATGTTAGATAGTTTCCCATTTCCCACGTAGACAATGAAATGATAAAATCTGAGTTCATAGGGTTTAGTCTGGTCTCCTCACCACCTGGGCATTAAGTAAATGTTAATTGATCTTCCCAGTGAGGTTGGTAAATGGAACTTAAGCATGATTGTAATCTTTTATCACACCCACTGACCTGTGAGCTCTTGAAGGGCAAAACTATTTTAATCATCCTGGTACTCCAGGGCCCAGCACAGTGCCCTGTCTGTAATAAGCATCAGTAGACGCTTGGTGAATAAACAATAATGCTACCTTCCCAACCTGACACCTTCCAGTGGACACCAGACTTCCTTTGAAGCCTTCCTTCCTTCCCAGCCATGCTGCCAGCCCTAGGCTCACACTGCCATTTCTCACCCCCAGAGCAGGCTACCCGTCTGAAGAAACTACAGGAGCAAGAGAAACAACAGAAAGTGGAATTTCGTAAAAGGGTGAGAATACCTAGAAAGACCAAAAATTGTCTCAGAAGGACTTCCAATAAGTTAGAGTTGGAAGGTTGAGGAGTCAGTTGTACTGAAAATGTCTGAAAGGAGTTGAAGCCTAAATGCCAGTGGCATGATGGCTGGGGAAAGTGTGGGGAGGCATAGAAAGGCCATTGGCCCAGTTGGGAAGAGGGATATTTGGGTGGAGCTATCATTTCATATCTTCTTCCCTTTCCTTCTCCTAAGATGGAGAAAGAGGTGTCAGATTTCATCCAAGACAGTGGGCAGATCAAGAAAAAGTTTCAGCCTATGAACAAGATAGAGAGGAGCATACTGTGAGTGTCTCAGGTCTGGGGGAGGCAGGATATGGGCATCTGGGGGGCATGAAAGGGCCAGCAGGGGACCCCTCTGTAGGAGATCACTGGGCTTCCTCATGGCTCAGCACACACTCTTTTGCCATCCTTTCTCAGACATGATGTGGTGGAAGTGGCTGGCTTGACATCCTTCTCCTTTGGGGAAGATGATGACTGTCGATACGTCATGATCTTCAAAAAGGTAAAAGGCCGGGTATCGTGGTACATAACTTGTATCCCGCACTCAGGAGTCTGAGTCAGAAGATTCACCACAAGTTCGAGGCCAGCTTGGGCTACACAGTGAGTTCAAGGCCAGCCTGAACTTCATAGAGAGACCCTATTAAAAAAAAAAAAAAAAAGATTGAACACCTGAGTTCTTCACTCTCCCTTTTTCAGCCTATCCCTTCACCTGAGGGGGGGAATGAGATTAAGCATTTATATGGACCCCTGACTCCATCATTTCCTTCTTCTCCAGGAGTTTGCACCCTCAGATGAAGAGCTGGAATCCTACCGCCATGGAGAGGAGTGGGATCCCCAGAAGGCTGAGGAGAAGCGGAAGCTAAAGGTGAGCTGTGCCTGGCAATCCCTGGGGCCCTACAGCCCCCAACAACACCTGGAAGGGCTCAGAGTCAGGCCCCTGAGCACCAGTGCCCTACCTCTGTACCCCTAGGAGCTGGCTCAGCAGCAGGAGGAGGAGGCAGCCCAGCAGGGACCGGTGGTGGTGAGCCCTGCCAGTGACTACAAGGACAAGTATAGCCACCTCATTGGCAAGGGGGCAGCCAAGGATGCAGCCCACATGCTACAGGCCAATAAGACCTATGGCTGTGGTAAGCCATGGTGGGAGCTGTGGGAGGCCTGGGGAGAAGCATAGGATGGGGCAAGTGAGCAGAGGTTAAGGCCCTGCCCCCTGCCCCCAGTGCCCGTGGCCAACAAGAGGGACACACGCTCTATTGAAGAGGCCATGAATGAGATCCGAGCCAAGAAGCGTCTGCGGCAGAGCGGGGAAGAGTTGCCAACTACCTCCTAGGAGCCCCACCTAGCTCCCTTTGACCTCTCGGGGCAAGGCAGGGAGGGACAAGGCTGCTGCTATTAGGACCCATCCTGGAGCCCCACCTCTGGAACCACCTTCTGCCAGCTGTCACTCAGGCTGGGGAAGCAGGTGTCTGTCACTGTCAGAGCCTGGATATGTATGTGTATGTAGGGTGTGTGTGTGTGTGTGTGTGTGTGTGAGTGTGAATGCACAGGTGGATATTTAATCTGTTTTATTCTGTTCTTCTTGGAACTTTCTTCCCCTTGGGGCTGGGTTACTTTACATTCAATAAACACTGTTTGACCCAACATTCTAGTTTGTATATAGAAAAATAGGCTTTAGATCCACTGACAGAGAAGAGAAATAATGTTAAATTGAACAGTATTAAATTGCTATTTGTGTGAATCAAAAGTAACCAGTTGGGCTGGGGATTTAGGCCAGTGGCTCTGCTGACTGCTTCACAAGCACAAGAACCCAAGTTTTTATCCCCGCTACCAAAAAAAAAAGCAACCAATTATTGGCATTGGGACTTAATAGATAGTGCTGTTTGTTTAGTACTAGGTATTGAACTGAGGGCCTGCATACTAGGGTACATTCCCAGACCTTTTTATCGTTTGAGACAGGGTCTTGCTGAGTTGACCAAGCTGGGCTCCAACTTGTGATCCTCCTCCCTCAGTCTCCCAGAATGCTGGGATTACAGGCATGTGCCACCTAATTTAAATACAGTATTGTAAAAGCACAGTTGCTGGGGCCAGGGATGTAGCTCAGTGGTTCTGTCGCCTGCCTTGCAAGCACAAGGTCCTGAGTTTGATTCCTGCTACCACAAAAAAAAAAAACCAAAAAACAAAAAACAAAAAACATACAGTTGCTGGAGTCAAATGGCCTGGCTTTGGATCCTGGCTCTGTTCCTTTACTCTAGTGGGCAAGATATTTTCTAAATTTTTATGCATCAGTTTCCTTACCCATACAATGGAGATAAGGGTAACTGACAGGATAGCTTCTAAAATTACACAGGTCAATACATATCAATGAGGATACCTCCAGATCCTTTTAGGCCTTGTAGAAGCAGTAACTGCTCCCCTTATTCATTCTCACAAAGCACTCAGGCTGGCTGTGGCCTTTATTCCACAGTGCACTAAGTCTATTTATTTTAACTCAATGGCAAGCCAGCCCCATCTTCCCCCCTGATAGTGGTAGCAGGACCCTTGGTCCGGTTCTACTCATTCCTGTCCTCTTCTGGAGCTAGTTTTTGCTTTCTCAGCACTCTAGCTCCATTTCACATGTACCTGTTTCCCCTAGCCTCTTTCCAAAATGTGAACTATTATTTAGACCCACTTTCCCTGCCTCCCTTTCCTTCCCCTACCTGTCCACCTCCCTCCCACAAAGGAGCAATCCATGGTCTTATTAGGCACCAGTTTTATTTCAGGGAGAAGGGTTTGTAGGCCTGGGTCTGTCTTGTCAAGTCCTGGGGCCTCCGGCTTCTCACTTGGCCTTCGGGTTACGGAACTTTCGTCCAGCGAAGACAGCCTTATCCCCAAGAGCCTCCTCAATCCTAGAATACAAGCAAAGTCACAGCTGCTGCCTTTTAGCTCAGCAGTACCCAGCTCCCCAATGTCCAGGCTACTGTACCCACTATACCTCATGAGTTGGTTGTATTTGGCCAGGCGCTCTGAGCGGCAGGGGGCACCAGTCTTGATCTGAGATAGGAAGAGGGATTTGGGTGAGGCTAAAGAGGTGGAGCCTGTCTGACCACAAGGGAGCAGCCTGTGTGGTGGCATTCAACTTGGGCAGGAAGCTGAGGACCCCCAAGGAAACTTGGTCAGAGAGTTAGTACAGGAAGCCATGTGTACCTGTCCTGTGCAGAGTCCCACCACGAGGTCAGCAATGAATGTGTCCTCAGTCTCCCCAGAGCGGTGGCTCACCATCACCCCCCAGCCATTAGACTGAGCCAGTTTGCAGCTGAATAGAGAAGACATTTAATGAGGCCTGTGGTACCTCCTCAGTGGAAAAGCCAGGGGCTGGGTAGGACTTTTGCCTTCTGTATTGGGTAGTAGGCACTTTGCAATGAAGGCAGTAACTAAGTTCTTTAGAAAGTAATAGACAAGAGATTTCTGATCTTGAATTGGGGGCTCCTGAGATGCTGGTGGGAAGAACAACAGAATCTAGGGGAAAGAAATAGCACAGGGTGAGGATGAAGAACAGCAGGGCCATGGTGGCAAAGCTCTTGGAGTCAGGCCAAGGATTGGTCAAGGTCTTGAGGTCAGGAGGGTATGGGTGAATCAAGTGCCACAGGAAAAGTTGACTTGGAGTTAGTGTGTGAGACTAGCTCGAGTGGGCAGAGCTGGGCTACAGATGAGCCCAACTCAGGAGGTACTCACGCCTGTATGGATTCAGTTACTGAGCCGATCTGGTTGACCTTCAACAGTAGGCAGTTACAGGCCTTCTTCTCAACAGCTTGTGCAATTCTCTTTGGGTTGGTGACTGTAAGGTCATCCCCTACGATCTGAATGTCCACCCCCGAGAGGAAAGAGGTCCATGTGCCCCAATCATCCTGGTCAAAGGGGTCCTCAATGGAGACCACTGGTGGAGGTTGGGAATACAGTCAGGGTTATAATCTCAAGTGGCCTCGTGGAAGGGGTGACAGGTAGTGAAGTTTGGATGGGGATTGCAATGGGGCTGAGGATAAGAATGACACAAATCATGTCAAAGCAGAGCCCAAAAATCAGTGTGTTAGGTATTTATAGGGAACTTGGGCAGGAACACTGAAACAACTGAGCCTCACCGGGATAGTTCTTGATGAAATTCTTATACAGTTCTCCAAGCTTCTCCCCAGTGATGTGCCTGGCAGGGTCATCGGGTGACTTGAAGTCAAGATCGTATTTCCCATTGCGATAAAACTCAGATGCTGCCACATCCATGCCAATCACCACCTTGTCTGGGTATCCAGCTGCCTGGATAGCTGTCTTCAGCAGCTCCAGAGCTGGAAGAGGATTAAAAAAGGACCTGAGACTTCAGTACCCCTTGTCTCTGTAGCCCATCCTCCCACCTGTAGCGGCCCAGAGAATCTGCACCCCAAGGTGCTCAGCACTGACCCTCATTGTTCTCCAGGATGTTGGGTGCAAAGCCACCCTCGTCCCCCACATTGGTGGCATCCTTTCCATACTTGGCCTTGATGACCCCCTTGAGGTGGTGGTAGACCTCAGCACCGATACGCATGGCTTCCTTGAAGGAGCTGGCTCCCACAGGCAGAATCATGAACTCCTGCATGGCCAGCTTGTTTCCAGCATGGGAGCCCCCATTGATCACATTGAAGGCCTGAGACAGGGAGAGGGTGCTCAGACCTGGGCTGAGGAGTGAGGGACAAAGAAAGAATGGAAACTTGAACCCTAACCTTCATACCCAAGCCCAGGTCTAAGTAACTTCTCCCTGTCTTAACTAAGTGGTCCAAGGTGAATAATTTTACTCCTCAAAACCTTTTTCCTTATTTCTATAAAATGGAGATACTTCCTGCCTACTTCCCTGTAGGATCTTCTGCTAAAAATTAGAGAAAGTAAATATAAAGTTCTTGGAATACAATAGCTTAACACTTTTATGGCACAGTTAGAAATGCTTTACATGAATGAGCTCATTTCTTTCTTTTTTTTTTTGGTATTGAGGATCAAACTCAGGATCTTGGCTTTCCAGGCAGGTGTAGCAACACTGAGCTATGTCCTCAGCCCCAAAGGTTCAGAATTTGAAACATTTTTCCCCCCAGTACCGGGATCAAACTCAGGACCATGTACTTGCCAGGTAGGCAAGGCGCCATTGAGCTAAGTCCCAGGCCTCATTTCATTCTTAAAACATCTCTGTTAGCTGGGTACTATGATTCCTCCCCAGTTTACAGGCGAGGAAACTGAGGCACAGAGAAGTCAACTTGCCTACGCCACACCAGTAATCAGTCAAGGCCGGGAACTGAACCCAGCAGTTCAACTCTAGAATCCAGGCTATTACAAGATCTTCCTATGATAGGTGGTAACATTGTTACTGAGTTTAAATTCAAAGAGCTCTATTAAGAGGGCACTGGTTTATTAAGGACTTGAGAAGATACAAAGAAATGCCAAGATCCTTGCCATGAATCTGATTTGAGGGGTGGGATGCAGGAGCAGAATGAGGTTGGAGTTAGCAGCCTGGGACTGGAATGTGAAGGAAGCCAGTTACATAGCAGGGAAAGAAGCACAAAGCAGCTTAGGGAAAGTTTGGATTATGGGAAAGAGGGAGGGGCTAGACTGCAGTAGGAGAGATTCCATTTCAGGAAACTGCTTTCTTGGAGCTGGGTCTGAAAGGAAGATTTTCCAGGGGCTGGTTTAGTACCCATGGGTGGCTGGGGGGCAGCTATTTCGTCCAGGATCTAGCAGGGCCAACCACACTCACAGGCACTGGGAGTATGAGCTCAGGATTCCCAGCAAGATCTGCAATGTGTCGGTAGAGCGGGACTCCCTTCTCAGCTGCTCCCGCTTTACACACTGCCAAGGACACACCCAGGATGGCATTGGCCCCAAACTTGGCTGGAAGGAGGAAAGTGAGAAGAAAGGGTGAGGGCTTCACTTGCAAGGTTTAGGGTTATTTCCTTGAATATCCCTTTTGGTTACCTCAAGAAGAACCAAAGCTCCAAACCACTGAGCATTAAGAGTTTTAACAGATCTCTCCCCAGCAGCTTGAAGAGCTCTGGAAGCCCCCACCCAAGGAGATGTGTCACCCTCACATCTGTGTTCACAGCTAGCCCAAGCCTGGCAGAGGGCAGGCATCAGGAAATGCCTGTGAAATGAATAAAAAGCTATCCAGCTATGGTGTGCCCCAAAATGTGGAACACAGAAACAACCCAGCCAGACCTCAGCCTGCGTCATCTCTCTCTACCCCTTGGACACTCCACTCCTTTCCCACCTCTACCCTCTGCCCCTTCACTCACACTTATTCTCGGTCCCGTCCAGCTCAATCATAAATTTATCAAGCTTTTCTTGATCCACAACGCTTAGTTTCTGGAAGGACAGGTTTGATGAGGGGAGGGGAGAGGTCAGATTTCTCAGGAGTTGGTTTGTGTGACTTATTTAGGGGAAAAAGGCAACCTGGGGAGAGGGACTGCTTTAGGATCAGGTACACACAGGGACGAGGGAAAGGGGAACTAACTCTTCCACTTGCCTTTTCCAGTAGAGCAGGGCCTAGAGTCTTGTTGATGTGCTCCACAGCTTTCAGCACTCCTACAGAAGTCAGGGGTTTAGATTTCCAAGTCCATCAGGTCTCTCCCCATGACCCCAGCTCTTCAAGGGCTTTGGGTTCCAGTCTTGTACCTGCAGGCCCATATCCTGAAACCACCCACACAGCATCCTTCTTGTTGGTCTTTCTCACCTTTCCCTAGGTAGCGGGATTTGTCTCCATCTCTTAGTTCTAGAGCTTCATAAATACCCGTGGAAGCTCCGCTAGGCACAGCTGCTCGGAATCGGCCTGGAAGAATTGGAAGATCACAAAAAGCCCCTACTCCCAGTCTGCAAAGGCTGAAGTCTCCTCCCTGAGTGCAGGGTTAGAAGCCAGTGCAGAGAGAAAATCAGCTTCTCCCAGCTCCAGAACCAGGTTGGAAGAGGAAGTCTGGGGAAGGGAGCCTCAGAAAAAGAACACCGTGTGGCAATGAACTCAAAGGCAAAGGCCAGGGTGAGGTTGGCAAATCGAGCAAATTGATTCACTGGGCCTGTGTTACCCTTGGCTGTGTGCAGGTCCACCTCCACTGTAGGGTTGCCTCTGGAGTCCAGGATTTCCCGGGCAAAGATTTTCTGCATGGCCATGGCTGCAGGACACGAGTGGGAGTGAGTTGGACACTTGATCCCTCAAGGAACTAGAAATCCCTTGCCCTTTAAGAGTCTTCTCCACCCTAAGAAGGCAGGTGCTAGAGCTAAAAATACTCTTAGAAAGGTCACAGACCAAAGAGGCAGGCACAGCCCCCTCCCCCACTCAGAACAGCTCCTATTCCTCATTCCCATCCTAAGAATTCAGCGCCCCCTGCCTTACAACTCTTTGGATCCCACCACTCCCCAAACCCTTACCTCCCCAAAGCTACACTTAAGCCTCCTTTTTCCACCCTTCTGGTTAAACTGTCTCTTCTCCATGTCTTTCTAGCCCTTAGATCCTCTCTGGTTCTTTTTCCTATTCCCCAAATCCTCTTGGGTTCCAAATTCCTTACCTGACTCCAACTCTACCCTTCTCTATCCATCTCTGCCTCTCTTCAAAGCCTCCTTTCTCATATCCTTAGGTACTCCCAGTGTTTGCCATCCTGCTTGCTCTAGCCTAGCCGCTCACTTTCAAGAACCCTCACTCCCAGGATGAAAAAAAAGTTGCAATTTCCCGTGTTCTCTGAGCCAGCACCACACACACCTCTACTCTCTGCGACTGAAAGTTTCGCCAGACCTGGGGTGTCTTCCCTGGAGCTTTGGATGGAGCTCTCAGTCTAGGTGGCAGTTGGGACAGTGTCAGCTCACCCCCTCTCAGGCTGGGCATTTATCCCTAGGCAGCTGTCCCCCAGCCAGCCCCGCCTCTCACTCCAACCTCCCCTTCCACACGGGGCTGGCAGCCAAATGCCCACTACAGCCTCAAGTAGAACCCCCTCTCCAAAGGTTAATGACTAGCTCCCACACTCTCTGTCCCCCAATAAAAGTTCCTTCTTCAAATACCACCCCTTGGGAAAAGGGAAGGGCTTCAGATTGGGGGGTCTCTACCCCCCCAGCACTATATTCCCCTTTTACAAAGGTTAAAGAGGAACTAGTGCCCTTTAGGAAAGGCCAGAGGTAACCTGAGCTCTGCAGGGCTCTGGGGAGGGGGCCTGGAAGAGGGGCTGCAGGATTGACATCCACACATGCTCAGCTCACTCGCTGTGCCCTCTGTGGGGGAAGGGACCAGGATGCTAGGGGAGCTCTGGGGTGTAAAACTGAACCCACCTCCAAAAGGCGAGAGGATCTCCCCTCTCAGGGTCTTCATACCGGCCACCTCTCATCCTCCTCTCTCCCAGCCAGCAGGGCGGGTGGTGGAGGTGGTGGTGGGCCCGATTTAGACAGGCAGGGTCAGGTCAGCTGGCGCTATGCCCCACTGATAGCGCTGGGACAGTGTTTGTGGCCCAGCGTGGAGGCTGTCAGTCAGGGGCCCATTTCCCTACCGACTGTGGTAGGCCCCTGCCTATCAATGAACCCCGCGGCCCCTGCCCATCAGTGAGCCGTGTTGACTATGGAATGAAACAAAATGAATGGATAGGAGGAGGGGGTGATCCTTTGTGAGCATCTGGATCCTGGGGCCGGTCCCTCGTCTGCTTATAGCATTGCAAGAAATGGGTATCTACACTCGGTATCTCTCCGCCTGGACGGTCTGGGGATGAGTGTGGGATCTGCCCCGCGTCCTGCTGCAGCTTAGGCCGGCCAACGGGCGGGTATCTCGAGGCAGTTCGGTTCTGCAACCAAACTCGGGCCTCTCGCCGGCACCTGAGGGCCAAGCACCCGGTGACTCAACCCGGGGCCCTCTCCAAGCTCCAGCCGCCCCGCGTCTCCCGCCTCCCTGCCCCCACCCCGGAGCGCTACCTGCCCGGGTCTCCCATCTCTCCGGTCCCCCTTATCTCTGGCCGCTCCCTCTGGGATTTTTCCACCCTGGGGTGGGGAGTGCGCGGGCCAGAGGTCAGGAGATGGCTGGCGGGGAGCGCCGCCACGTGCCTAGTGCGGCCCCGCCCGAGCCCGCCAGTGACTCAGCCACGCGGCTGTCCAGGAACACCGGCTCTGGGGGCGTCGGGGCCCAGAGAACCGCGCCCCGCTAGGGAGGACCAGAGTGACACGACGCCCTATCCAGCACCCCCCGGGAGGCCCTGCGCGAGCCCGGCGTCCCTCCCCCGAGGCACCGGAAGCGGCCCAGCCCCTCGGCTCCGAGGGTCCCGGGGGGATGGTTCACGGAAGCCCGCCGGCCGCCGCTGCTGACCCTCTTGCCCCTCTCTTCCCGTAGAGCGGCGAGAACTGATAGCACATAAAAGGCTTTCGCATAAGTTTTACTGGGAAAGAAGAAAAACCCAGTGACACAAAGAGGGACTTTCCCCTTCTTCAAAAAGTTTCCAACTTTGGAAGTTTAGTATTCTTCCGCTTTGAAAAATTAGTCCCGCCCGCCTGGAGCGCCCGGGCTTGACCTTTGCCGAGATGGGCCAAGGGGCACTACCGGTGACCCAAGCTGCTGGCCCGCGGACAGGCGGGGCTGGGGCTCGGGGCGAGGCCTTGGGCTACAGCCAGTCCAGGAAAAGGCTAATCCCCTAGAGTGGAGATGTGCTCGAAAGAGCCCAACCTGTGGGTCCCTGGCTGGCGCGGGGAACAGGTGCCCGGGTTGGTGCTTCAGCCCTGAAAACAACCAGGATACTCTGTCAAATTCTCCTTTACTCTTACTGCTTAAGTAAGTAAAATTTATAGCATCGAGGCGTCAGCGCGCACGTCCGCGCCCCCGCTCCTTCCGCTTGGCGGGAGACAAGCCCTTGAAGCGCCCGCCTTTCCAGGAGAGCCCAAATCTCCGGCGGAGGTGGGGGGAGAAGTCGTTCCATTTAACCCTGGGTTTCCCGAACCCTTTTTAATTTGCTCAACTTGCATCTTATTAATTTATTATTTTCCTTCATCTGGCTCATTCTCTTTCCCTCTACCAAATCTGGTTTGTATAGTATGAGGGTTTGAGGGAGCCTAACAGCCTCTCCTCCGCCAGGCCCCCAGGCTTTACATTGCTTTCCATCGAACTCTGCAAATTTTGCAATAGGGGGAGGGATTTTTAAAATTGCATTTGCAAAGTTCGGTATCTGGGCAGGAGAGGGGCAGAGGGAGGGAGGGAATGAGGAGGCCCCGCCCCTACCGCCCTTTGCAAATAAAAATCTAGAGGGGGGAGGAGGAGCAGGAAGTGGCGGTGCGAGGGTTGCTGCACAGCGAGCAAAGCCGAGGTCCGGACGGCAGCGCGTGCCCCGAGCTCTCTGTCTATCTCCGCCCGCCTGCCCGAGTCCAGCCCGCAGCCCCAAGCAGCAGTGCCGACAGCAGCCCCAGCAACAACGCCATGTCCGGGTGGAACGCCTACATCGACAACCTCATGGCGGACGGGACCTGTCAGGACGCGGCCATCGTGGGCTACAAGGACTCGCCCTCCGTCTGGGCCGCCGTCCCTGGGAAAACCTTCGCCAACATCACGGTACTGAGAGGCTTGCGCGGTCCCAGGCACTGGCCGGCCTTGGACTCTGAGGGTGGGGGCAGGCGCAGTGTACGGAGGCCAGGGAGAGGCCAAGATCTCTGGGTTCCTGCCCTGGAAACGACGCGAATGGCGG